TTATATTGAAGGATGAAAACTGCTTGAATTGAATTAATTCCATTGTATCTTCATCACAGTGCTCTGCATTAACATGATCAAACTCATCTTCCTCCTGGGAATATTGTAGTCCTACATTTAAATCTTTCACTGTTTTAATCATATTCGCTCCATTATCGGTTGTTATTGTTAAAATCTGATTTATATCGATGTCATACTCCTTTAGGACATCGAGTATCACACATTATAAATATTCACTAGTGTAACTTGCCTTCAGTTTTTTTACAGCCAAGGTTTTTATTTGAATGGCTTTATTACTAATGTATTGCACAATAATACCAAGAACTCTTAAATCCTTTTTTCCTTTTAAATCCTGGATAATTTCAGTTTTTAGCTTTTGTGGGAAAGCTATTATCCTTTCACCAACATTATGCTCATTGAGGGTAATGTTCAAATGCACCAATATTTTAAACGAAGCAATAGAAATTCACGAAATTCACCCAAAACATTCTTTATTATACGGTACAGTTTGGTATTGAATATCAGTAAAATCGGTTCACGACGTAAAAAGTTATGAGTAAAAATTACAGACTACCTCGAAAAAAATAAAGTTTTTTTCCCAATTCTTAAGTAGTTTTCTCAGAAACTACCAAAGATATTTCGATAAATTTTGTCACACATTATTTTTTATACCAAGGATCAAGTATGTTCAAATTCATAATAATTGATCCAATATTTCCCATAGCCCCCATACAAAGGTGTATATTCCCGGAAACTAGTTTACCGTTAATAACTCCCTCAAATATATCGGTATCAACACAAAATTTTGTACATACAAATATAATATAAATAGAAATCATGCTAGCAACGTAGATCTCAGTCGGTCCACAATTGGTCATAGCTCCCATATAAGGTCCACCTCAAAATTCGACTTGAATTTCTTTTTTTGCATTATACGAAATTTTTTCTTGGTCGGTCCGTAATTGGTCACAACTCCCATATAAGGATCATTTCTGAAAATTACTTAAACGCACATTGAAAATCAAAGTCGGGATAAAATTCGACATAAATGTGTATTTTGTATATATAAATCGTTATACGGAATTTTACTTCTGAAAATCACTTAATACCACTTAATTCATTATTAAATGATTATATCCAGATAAAATTCGTCATAAGTATGTTTGTGTATAGATAAATCATTATATTAAAATGTTTACAACTGGCCTATTAATATAAATTGGTACCCTCACTACGGAAACGACATTTTTGTCAAGCTATCTAAATATTAGATAGTTAAATTGGTTTTAATAAAAAGTAGCTTGCTGGTTTTAAGATTTAAGATTCGGCACAACCGAATAAAGCACTGTAACTTGTTCTTTTTGAAGGACATTTAATTAAATTTTTAATCTATATATGTATATAAAAATGAATGTGTGTTTATTTGTTTGTGGGTTTGTTTGTTTTTTGAAGTCTATAGACGGCAAATGTAACAGACGGAAAATGTAACAGTTAGAGCCCTCAAATTTGGTCGAAACCACATAAGTCTCAATATGATTAGTTAGGAGGGAAGCGGCACCTCGCATAGGAATTAAATACAACAAAATATTTTATCTAAGAAACTAATAGAACTAGATTCCTAACATTTTGCAAAAAGGACATTCATATTCATCTGAACATTTTGGGGGAAAAAAGCGGACTTTCATCAGGGGATGGCTTGGAACCCCCATATGAATTATATAGAAAAATTTGTATATCTGAGATACTGTAGAAGCTAGAACCTTCAAATTTTACATGAAGAACTTTGAGGGGGATTGGACCCTCCCATATGAATTAAATACAATACAATATTATTTACATTTTTCATAGCTTACATTAAAATCCTTATTAGCGTTCGGAAAATTGGCGAACTTGCAATAATTTGAGTGGCATCTCCCATGTGTAAGTGGGTTTTTTTTGCTTTTAGGGTAGCAAAATACACTGGGTATAGCTTGTCCTTATATAAATATGGACATCAAATAGGGAAATTAAAAAATATATTGTTTTCATTTAAAAGTTGAAAGATTGTAAATGATGTCCTTTAAATATATTATTCCTTCAAATTTCTAAAAATTTTCCAATACATATTTTATATTGTTTTTGTTTCTGTATATCAGGACGAAAAAAATAGTTTTAATTTTTTCTGTCCTGATAAATAAAAAATACTATTCATTTTATAATTTCATTCTTTATATGAAAGGATAACATTTTAAAATGATATTGCTATTTTCAGAGACGTCCATACACCAGTTATGAATATTAAATGTGATTTATTTTTCATAATAAAATATTTATCTTCAATATTACCTTGTTCCGATACTTTTAAGCTATTTATGGATGAAAAACTAATTTTCTGAAAGAGGCTTTATATGGGGGGCTAGAGGCAAATATGGTCCAAGCCCGATAAAGTTTTGTGAATATATTTATATAATATGTAATTGTGCTGAATTACATTGCGATATTGTGTTGAAAAGTTACTTTTGGACATTCAAGTAATATTCTGACTTTATATGGGTGCTAGGGTCAATGAGGCCAATTAGTTAGTTAGTTAGTAGTTAGTTAGTTAGTTAGTTAGTTAGTTAGTTAGTTAGTTAGTTAGTTAGTTAGTTAGTAGTTAGTTAGTTAGTTAGGTTAGTTAGTTAGTTAGTTAGTTAGTTAGTTAGTTAGTTAGTTAGTTAGTTAGTTAGTAGTTAGTTAGTTAGTTAGTTAGTTAGTTAGTTAGTTAGTTAGTTAGTTAGTTAGTTAGTTAGTTAGTTAGTTAGTTAGTTAGTTAGTTAGTTAGTTAGTTAGTTAGTTAGTTAGTTAGTTAGTTAGTTAGTTAGTTAGTTAGTTAGTTAGTTAGTTAGTTAGTTAGTTAGTTAGTAGTTAGTTAGTTAGTTAGTTAGTTAGTTAGTTAGTAGTTAGTTAGTTAGTTAGTTAGTTAGTTAGTTAGTTAGTTAGTTAGTTAGTTAGTTAGTTAGTTAGTTAGTTAGTTAGTTAGTTAGTAGTTAGTTAGTTAGTTAGTTAGTTAGTTAGTTAGTTAGTTAGTAGTTAGTTAGTTAGTTAGTTAGTTAGTTAGTTAGTTAGTTAGTTAGTTAGTTAGTTAGTTAGTTAGTTAGTTAGTTAGTTAGTTAGTTAGTTAGTTAGTTAGTTAGTTAGTTAGTTAGTTAGTTAGTTAGTAGTTAGTTAGTTAGTTAGTTAGTAGTTAGTTAGTTAGTTAGTTAGTTAGTTAGTAGTTAGTTAGTTAGTTAGTTAGTTAGTTAGTTAGTTAGTTAGTTAGTTAGTTAGTTAGTTAGTAGTTAGTTAGTAGTTAGTTAGTTAGTTAGTAGTTAGTTAGTTAGTTAGTTAGTTAGTTAGTTAGTTAGTTAGTTAGTTAGTTAGTTAGTTAGTTAGTTAGTTAGTTAGTTAGTTAGTTAGTTAGTTAGTTAGTTAGTTAGTTAGTAGTAGTTAGTTAGTTAGTTAGTTAGTTAGTTAGTAGTTAGTTAGTAGTAGTTAGTTAGTTAGTTAGTTAGTTAGTTAGTTGTAGTTAGTTAGTTAGTTAGTTAGTTAGTTAGTTAGTTAGTTAGTTAGTTAGTTAGTTAGTTAGTTAGTTAGTAGTTAGTTAGTAGTTAGTTAGTTAGTTAGTTAGTTAGTTAGTAGTTAGTTAGTTAGTAGTTAGTTAGTTAGTTAGTTAGTAGTTAGTTAGTTAGTTAGTTAGTTAGTTAGTTAGTTAGTTAGTTAGTTAGTTAGTTAGTTAGTTAGTTAGTAGTTAGTTAGTTAGTTAGTTAGAAGAAATTCACCTAGGCCTCCATCGGGCCTGTTGTGCGCTCCTTAACCACGGAAAACCCCGATAAACTTCGATCTATATTGCATTTAAAAAAAACGGAAAAAACCTTTTCCGTAAATTTTATTGGGGATTATTATGTATTAATTTCCGCGAATGATATTAAATTAATCTGTGTTAAATGTAAAAACCTTAAAATTTCCCTGATACACAAAAATTTCAGATATGGAGTTAAAAGCGTTTTCCTTTGGAAAAAAATATGAAAATATCATAAAGACCTAAAAAGGACCTTTATATCCTTTGATCCAGGTGACCAAATATTCATGTTAGGACAAAAATTGTAATAAATGTTATCATAGAATCAAGTAAATTTTAATTTTAGTTGGGAACATTGACACCTTATTTTTCCTCCATACAAACAGGGCCATTTTTGTACATGTGCTATTTTTATACCCTTCACCTTCGTGAGTTTGTCATTCCGTTTGTAATTTCCAAAATATAATTTTCCGACCCCATAAAGTATATATATTCTGAATCCTTATAGATAGCGGAGTCGATTAAGCCATGTCCGTCTGTCTGTCTGTCTGTTGAAATCAGTTTTCTGAAGACCCCAGATATCTTCGGGATCCAAATCAGAATGCTTTCAGACATGCTTTCGAGGAGTTTCCTAATTAAAATCATTTCATAAAAAATAAACAACAACAACACTGCTTATTCATTGCCTTTGTATTTTGTTTTTTTGAGTATTTCGTTTCGTATGTTTGGATCGCTGTGTGTTTCATTGCCTTGTGTATATTGTTTTTGTTTCTTGGTGCATTCAATTTCGTATGTTTGGATGGCTGTGTGTTTCATTGCCTTGTGTATATTGTTTTTGTTTTCTTGGTGTATTGAATTTCGTATGTTTGGGTGTCTGTTGGTTTCATTGCGTTGTGTATTTTGTTTTTGTTTTTTTTTCTGTATTTCGTTTCGTATGTTTGGATGTCTGTTGGTTTTACTGCCTTGTGCATTTTGTTTTTTGTGTGTTTATATCGTTTAGCGTTGTTGTTGTTCATTATGTTTTGTTATTGCTATAATAATGATATAGTCGGGAAAATGAATTTTTAAATACACTATGGTGTAGGGTATATAAGATTCGGCACAGCCTAATATAGCACTCTTACTTGTTTTGTTTTCAATCCGATATATAAAATAAATTATGCTGATATATAAAATGCAACTAATATTTTTTATTTGCAGTTTTATGACGCCGTCAACGACATTACAGAAGATGTTACTGAATGTGTTACCGAAGAAGTAGATGTTTTTAAATATAACGTTGCGTCAAAATGTGATGACAATAGGTAAGCTAATTAAAGTACATTTTTAAAAACTAACGGTTGTATTCATAAAAAGTTATTTAAGTTTATTAAAAAATTTTTGGCAAAATTTACGAAAATCGTATTCATATACTTCAAATAGCCTAAAATACCTTCAATAAACCATTGACAAATACATATAAACAAGTAAGAGTGTTATATTCGGCTGTGCCGAATCTCATATACCCACCATCAAACCGTATGCCGTAAAAGGAATGCTCCCCTATAAATATTAGGGCGATATTTGGAATATGGTTTAAATCAATTATGGACTAAGCTCTTTTGAACTAACAAAATATTAATTTTTAAAAACAAAATATTTTTGTTCAATATTTAGACCGTGAGCGTATGAGTAATTTTCCGAAGGGGACCTTATATGCGTCATAGATTTTGTTTTGTATAGAACTTGTTTATGTCAAATTTCATCGCTATATACGTATTTTTAAATTAGGAAAACTGGTATATTAATAAGCAAAACCCTTTATGAAGGGAACTTTTTATAGGGGCTAGACCAATCCTCATTATAATCGGAATGAAGAATTATGTTTCTAAGTAAAAACTTTTTATGTCGATTTTCATTGCTATACTCGTAATTTTCGATCAAATTTTCAGAAAAGGACCTTATATGAGGGGTAGGGTCAATTATTGACCGATCCTCATAACTTTTTTTAGATTGATTTTGGTTCATATAAAACTTGTGTACATTGAATATCATCGCTGTATTCGCATTTTTTGCCAGTAATAATCGTTAAAATAATTTTCTTAATAGGTGGGGGGGTGTTAGCAAGATAACCGTTCGTATAAAAGTTTCTTATGTCGAATTTCATAACTGTCGTATTTTTAAGCCAGCAATGATCGTTTAAGTAACTTTCAGAAGGGGACCTCGTATTTTTAAGGAAGTAATGAGCGTTAAAGTAATTTTCTAAAGGGGACCTCATTTGAGGGTATAGTCAATTATGGACCGGTCCACATAAACTTTGGTAGAGAGGTTTTGGCTCGCGAGGAACTTACTTGTGTCAAATTTTATAATCGTATTTTCCAGCCAGTAGTAAGTTCTAAAGTCCTTTTCGGAAGGGGACCGATCCTCATAAAATTTGGTAGAGAGATTTTGGATCATATAAAACTTATTTATGTCGAATTTCATCGCTACATTTCAAACAATTATGACCGTTAAATGCAAAATTTCAGCTGCCCAGCTTCTTCCATGTGTTCACTATCGTGATTTTAACAGACGGACGGACAGACGGACATAGCTAGATCGTCTTTAATAAGAACCCAGATTATATACACTTTTGTGGGTCTATGACCAATATATCGATGTGTTACAAACGGAATGACAAAAACAATATACCGCCCATCTTTTTTGATGGTGAGTATAAAAATGTATTGTAGCTCGACCCTCCTTTAAGCCAACAATAAGTTGATTCTCTCTTCTCAGATTAATTTTAGGTTGATAGCGACAGATTAATTTTAGGTTGATAGCGACAACTAATTATGTTTTCCTTTAAAATGAAATAAAATCCCAGGGAAAAAACTTAAGTAAGAATTTATAGTCGGGCATGTCCGATCAGTGATTATGTTGCAAATTTTCATAATTCTTTTAATAATAAAGTATTTAATTTATCAGAAATATTTAAACAATTTGTTGACAAAAAAGGAATTTTTTAATAAATAATTTGATTTGCCTTTTTTATAGTTTGTTGGTTAAATATAATGCCATGAGATAATTAATTATGTAAATTATATTGATTATTGTTATGCCAATACAAAATTAGTGAAATATCAAAGAAATTTATCAATATATGCGAAAATTAATCAAAAATTGCAATAAAAATAAGTAAAAACAAGTTAGAGTGCTATATTCGGCCGAATCTTAAATACCCTGCATCATCTTCTTTTATATGAATAACCTTTTGGTTAATCAAATATTTGTGAAAATAGGTTCTCATCTTTCTAATACTACAAGCAATGATTTAAATATTTTAAATCTGTTACAATTGCAAGTTTTTTCGCAGCATTATAACGATTTTCTATAATATTTTATAGCTCCTTAAAATATGCTTTAAAGATATTTAATAACTTCCAGGTATGCATGTGTGTGAAATATTTAAGGAAATTTAGATATGTGTACCGCTGTTCAGAATTTGTTTATACTAAATTAATTTTACTAAACAAATTACAATTAATTATATACGGTTAAAGTGTTTTTACAATAACATTTCTATAAATATTTCTGTCAAAATTTTTATCTATATAGCTATTTGGTAATAAGTGATGTGCATTAAGTGATTTTCGGGAGAGGCTTTGTATGGGACCGATCGGACCCATATTATGGACCGATCGTGAAAAAAATTGCAAATAACATTTTGTATACAAAAGTAATGTCTGTCTCAAATTTAGCATGGATATCATTGTTTGCTAATGAGTAATGTGAATTTAAGTGATATCTGGGAGGGGGTCCTTATATGGGAGCTATGACAAAATATGGGACGATCGTTTTTAAAATAAAATTTATGTATTTTGTAAGGATAAATTAATGTATTTTATAAGGATATCATTATTTGGTAATGATTTATGGTTTAAGTAATTTTCTGAAGGAGATCTTCTATGAGAGCTAAGATCAAATATGGACCGATCGTGAAACAATATTAACCTTTAACTGCTGACGTGAAATTGTTTAGCGCATATGAAGAGGTGGCTTATCTACATATATAAAAATCAATGTATGTTTGTTTGATTGTTTGTACCTTATAGGAGGCTAAACCACTGAAGCGATTTTCTTGAAATTTTCAGTGTACGTTCGCCTATATCTGGAAGGAACTATAGGCTACTTTTTATTTTGAAATTGCAAGTGGTAGGGGTGCCACGCCAACTTCTTCAAAAGTCGAATATCTCGGAACATGGTACAACTAGAGTCCTCAAATTTTTTATGGACAATTTTGACATCCATTTGATTATTTGGTGGAAATTGGAGGACTAGCAATAGGGGGCGTGGCACCCCCATCTATTTATATAAAAATGAATGTGTGTTTGTTGGTTTGGACTTTATAGACAGCTAAACGGCTGGACCGATTTTCTCAAATTTTCACAGTGTCTTCCCGTATGTCTGGAAGGAACTACAGGCTACTTTTTACTTCAAAATTTCAAGTGGGCGACGTGCCACACCCACATTAAAAATTAGTATTAAAACAGAAATATCTCAGAAACTGCAAGAGTTGGAGTCCTCAAATTTTGTGAGGGCAACTTTGACATCCATAAGAATATTTTTGGACAAAATGAGCGGAATTGCTATAGTGAGCGTGACACCTTCCATATGAAGAAAATGGAAGGTGCCACATGTTGAGGACCTTTATTAGGGGGGCTTGAACCTCGCATATGAATTAAATAGAATTAAATGTCTGGGAAACTATTATAGCAAAAATACTTTGACATCAATGTGAACATTTTGGTAATAAATTGGCGGACTAGCAAAATTTTACTTTTTCGCAAGCCTCTTTTTCATAAACCAAAACAAAATAAAAAATGGAGTGTAAAAATTACTACCACGTCATAAGTTAAAGGTAAAAATTAAATTTTTGTTTAAAAAAGTAATATTTGTGGCAAATTTTGTATAGAATTTTTACAGTATCATTTCTATATATAAAAGCAATATTTGTGCCAAAATTTTTATGGATACCATTGTTTAATAATGAGTTATGTGTATAAGTATAAGTGATTATCGGGATGGAACCTTGTATGGGAGCTGATTTTTTCGGAGTTTTTTAAATTTTGATCCATAACTCTTTCCGATGTAAACTGACAATAGTGAATCTTTTGACCGAATTTCATTAATCTATTTAGTATAGTTTTTACGTAAGCGTGTTTTACACAGACAGACAGACGGACATAGCTAAATAGATTCAGAATTTGATAAGGACCCAGAATATAGTATATACTTTGTTGGGTCTCAAATGAATATTTCTTGGTGTTACACACGGAATGACAAACTTATATGTACCCTCTATCACCACACAGTGGGGCAGAATGGAAATTTTTTGTGAATAAATCTGGCATTTCTAAACGGCTGATCCGATCGGGATAAAATTTGGCGTGAGCGTAGCCAAGGAGTATTCGAGTTTAAGTTTTGAAGATGAACCCTGCAGATGCCCCAGGGACGGCGCTGTGGTGGCTCAAAATAGGTTACCTACGACATGTAAAATTTTTAAACTCGTGCCATTTTTTTGTTTTTCACCCAAATACAAAGATTTTTATATTTTGTGAAAGCAGTCGACGAGATCTTGAAAAAACATGCTTGGACATACTACTTATCTTTTATAATATCCGAGTTATAGGCATTTAAAAATTTAGTGATACAAAATTTACCATACCTTGGTCCGCCTTTTTTTGAATACCGGGCGTAATTTTGGACCAAATGGACTCAATTTTTCCTTGTTAGTTAGACAACAAAATTTCCAGTAACATATAAAAAAATTCAGATCAATATCATTTACAGATCCAAAAATATACGTTTTTTAATTTAAAAATTCAAAAAATTTTAGATTTTTGCCGTTTTTTGCCAAAAATGTGTCTTAACTCTTTTATTAATAAAATAAAATTTTCTTTAAGAACATATAACAATTTTATAGTTTTCTAAAAGGTATCTTTACGCAGAACGCTTTGGCGTAAAAAACTTGTCCTATTTTTTGAAATGTTGCTGCGTCCTTCCGAATATGACCTATTTTTTATCAAAACTTCAACTTTGGGCGACATATTCTAAAATCCCAAAGCTGGGATCAGAAAACTGAAAGCAGTTTTGGAAACCTCAATATGTTTTCTATTTACTCCAAAAGTATTTTCCCAGCCCTGAAAGAAATGTGGACCCTATGGGCAAAAAAGTAAAAAATCCCATTTTTGGGATTTTCATTCCTATTTTTGGGAATTGCGGGATGCCCTTTGACCTTTTCAATTTTTTTTTGCATTTTCTTATTTGAAATGACAAATTTAAC